TTCCCTTGCATGTAGTGTTTTAACCTAAAAAAATGACTGAAAGAAATACATTGTCAGAAGTGGGATTCAAATTCACGCCCACGCAAGTGTTCAACGACCTGATTGCAGCGCCTTAGACCGCTCGGCCATCCTGACACGCAAAATAGCTTTTCCTTGCATTTAGTTCTTTAACCTCAAAAAATGACTGAATAGAAATACATTGTCAGAAGAGGGATTCGAACCCACGTCCACACAAGTGGATTTCGACCTGAACGCAGCGCCTTAGACCGCTCGGCCATACTGACACGTGGGAGAGTGTTTCCTTTCATTTAATTAATGAGAACTTAAAAAATGAATGAATGAAATATAATTGTCAAACGTGGAATCCGAAACCACGCCTGCAGAATTTTTCTGCGACCTGAACGCAGCGCTTTAGACCACTCAGGAATCTTAACCTATGAAAGATCTTTGCCTTAAATTTAGTTTATGAAAACTAAAAAAATAATGACTCAATATAATTACATTATCAGAAGTGGGATTCGAACCCACGCCAAAACCAAATGGACTTCTACATGAACGCAGCGCCTTTGACCGCTTGGCCATCCTGAAAATTGAGAAAACGTTTCCTTTAATATACTTTATGAGAACTAAAAAAATAACTCAACTAAATATAATTGCTCGACGTGGAGTTTGACCCGCGAACGCGACCTGATTGCAGCGCCTTAGACCCAACGGCCATCCTGACACGTGCGAGAGCATTTCCTTACATTTAAGTTATGAGAACTAAAAAAATGACTGAATAAAATTCTATTGTCAGAAGTGGGATTCGAACCCACGCCCACAGAAGTGGACTGCGACCTGAACGCAGCGCCTTAGACCGCTCGGCCATCCTGACACGCACTATTGCTTTCCCTTGCATTTAGTTCTTTAACCTCAAAAAATTACTGAATAGAAATACATAGTCAGAAGTGGGATTCGAACCCACGACCACACAAGTAGACTGCGACCTGAACGCAGCGCCTTAGACCGCTCGGCCATCCTGACACGTGGAAAGGGTTTATTTCATTTAATTAATGAGAATTTAAAAAAATGAATGAATGGAATATAATTGTAAAACGTGGAATCCGAAACCACGCCTGCAGAATTTTACTGCGACTTAAACGCAGCGCTTTAGACCGCTCAGAATCTTAACCTGAACCTGTGAAAGATTTTTCCCTTACATTTAGTTTATGAGAACTAAAAAAATAATGACTAAATAAAATTACATTATCAGAAGTGGGATTCGAAACCACGCCAAAACCGAAAGGACTTCGACATGAACGCAGCACCTTTGACCTCTTGGCCATTCTGAAATTTGAGAAAACGTTTCCTTTAATTTACTTTATGAGAACAAAAAAAATAACTCAACTGAATATAATTGCTTGACGTGGGAGTAAGACCCACGAACACGCAAGTTTTTCTGCGACCTGATTGCAGCGCTTTAGACCGCTCGGCTATCCTGACACGTGCGAGAGCGTTTCCCTTACATTTAAGTTATGAGAACTAAAAAAAAATGACTGAATAAAATTTTATTGTCAGAAGTGGGATTCGAACCCACGCCCACAGAAGTGGACTGCGACCTGAACGCAGCGCCTTACACCGCTCGGCCATCCTGACACGCAGAATAGCTTTCCCTTGCATGTAGTTTCTTAAAACTCAAAAAATGTCTGAAAGAAATACATTGTCAGAAGTGGGATTCGAACCCACGAACACGCAAGTGGACTACGACCTGATTGCAGCGCCTTAAAGCGCTCGTCCCTCCTGACACGCAAAATAGCTTTCCCTTGCATTTAGTTCTTTAACCTCAAAAAATGACTGAATAGAAATACATTGTCAGAAGTGGGATTCGAACCCATGCCCACACAAGTGGACTGCGACCTGAACGCAGCGCCTTAGACCGCTCGGCCATCCTGACACGTGGGAGAGTTATTCCTTTCATTTAATTAATGAGAACGTAAAGAATGAATGAATGAAATATAATTGTCAAATGTGGAATCCGACACCACGCCTGCAGAATTTTACTGCGACCTGAACGCAGCGCTTTAGACCACTCAGGAATCTTAACCTATGAAAGATCTTTGCCTTACATTTAGTTAATGAAAACTAAAAAAAAATAATGACTCAATAAAATTACATTATCCGAAGTGAGATCCGAACCCACGCTAAAACCGAGTGGACCTCGACATGAACGCAGCGCTTTTGACCGCTTGGCCATCCTGAAATTTGAGAAAACGTAACCTTTTATTTACTTTATGAGAACTAAAACAAATAACTCAACTAAATATAATTGCTCGACGTGGGAGTTTGATCCGCGAACGCGCAAGTGTACTGCAACCTGATTGTAGCGCCTTAGACCGCTCGGCCATCCTGACACGTGCGAGAGCGTTTCCTTACATTTTAGTTATGAGAACAAAAACAAAATGACTGAATAAAATTCTATTGTCAGAAGTGGAATTCGAACCCACGCCCACAGAAGTGGACTGCGACCTGAACGCAGCGCCTTAGACCGATCGGCCATCCTGACACGCAGAATAGCTTTCCCTTGCATGTAGTTTCTTAAAACTCAAAAAATGACTGAAAAAAATACATTGTCCGAAGTGGGATTCGAACCCACGAACACGCAAGTGGACTACGACCTGATTGCAGCGCCTTAGAACGCTCGGCCATCCTGACACGCAAGATAGCTTTCCCTTGCATAAATTTTTTAACCTCAAAAAATGACTGAAAGAAATACATTGTCAGAAGTGGGATTTGAACCAACACCCACGCAAGTGGACTACGACCTGATTGCAGCGCCTTAAACCGCTCCCATCCTGACACGCAAAATAGCTTTTTCTTGCATTTAGTTCTTTAACCTCAAAAATGACTGAATAAAATACATTGTCAGAAGTGGGATTCGAACCCACGCCCACTCAAGTGGACTAGGACCTGATTGCAGCGCCTTAAACCACTCCGCCATCCTGACACGCAAAATAGCTTTCCCTTACAATTAGTTCTTTAACCTCAAAAAAATGACTGAATAGAAATACATTGTCAGGGCGGGATTCGAACCCACGCAAACAGAAGTGGAATGCGATCTAAACGCAACGTTTTAGACCGCTGGGCCCTCCTGACACGTGGAGTGTGTTTCTTTTCATTTAATTAATGAGAACTTAAAAAAAAATAAATGAAATAAAATTGTCAAACGTGGGATCGAAACCACGCCCACAGAATTTTACTGCGACCTAAACGCAGCGCTTTGACCGCTCGGCCATTTTAACCTGTGAAAGATCTTTCCCTTGCATTTAGTTTATGAGAAATAAAAAAATAATGACTGAATAAAAATTACATTATCAGAAGTGGGATTCGAACCCACGCCAAAACCGAAGTGGACTTTGACATGAACTCACCGCCTTTGACCGCTTTACCATTCTGAAATTTGAAAAAGGTTTCCTTTAATTTACTTTATGAGAACTAAAAAAAAAATAACTCAACTAAATATAATTGCTCGACGTGGGAGTTGGACCCCGAACACGCAAGTGTACTGCGACCTGAAAAGCGCCTTAGACCACTCGGCCATCCTGACACGTGCGAGAGCGTTTCCTTAGATTTAAGTTATGAGAACTAAAAAAATGACTGAATAAAAACATTGTCAGAAGTGGGATTCGAACCCACGCCCACAGAAGTGGAATATGATCAAAACGCAGCGCCTTAGACCGACCGGCCATCCTGACATGTGAAAGAGTTTTCCCTTACATTTAGTTTTTTGGAACCTAAGAAAAGTATGTGAATAAAAATTTATTGTCGCAGTGGGATTCGAACCCACGCCCACAGAATGGACTGCGACCTGAACGAAGCGCCTTAGACCGCTCGGCCATCCTGACACACAGAATAGCTTTCCCTTGCATATAACTTTTAAACTCAAAAAATGACTGAAAGAAATACATTGTCCGAAATGGGATTCGAACCCACGAACACGCAAGTGGTCTATGACCTGATTGCAGCGCTTTTAAACCGCTCGTCCCTCCTGACACGCAAAATAGCTTTCCCTTACATTTACTTCTTTAACCTCAAAAAATGACTGAATAGAAATACATTGTCAGAAGTGGGATTCGAACCACGCCCACAGAATTGGACTGCGACCTGAACGCAGCGCCTTAAACCACTCGGCCATCCTGTCACGCAAAATAGCTTTCCCTTGCATAAAGTTTTTTTAACCTCAAACAATGACTGAAAGAAATACATTGTCAGAAGTGGGATTCGAAATAACGCCCACGCAAGTGGACTACGACCTGAACGCAGCGCCTTAGACCGCTCGACCATCCTGAAACGTGGGAGATTTTTTAACCTTTCATTTAATTAATGAGAACTTAAAAAATTAATGAATGAAATATAATTGTCAAAAGTGAAATCCGAAACAACGCCTGCAGAATTTTACTGCGACTTAAACGCAGCGCTTTAGACCGCTCAGGAGTCTTAACCTGTGAAAGATCTTTCCCCCTTACATTTAGTTTATGAGAACTAAAAAATAATGACTGAATAAAATTACATTATCAGAGTGGGATTCGAACCCACGCCAAAACCGAGTGGACTTCGACATGAACGCACCGCCTTTGACCGCTTTGCCATTCTGAAATTTGAGAAAAGGTTTCCTTTAATTTACTTTATGAGAACTAAAAAAAATAACTCAACTAAATATAATTGCTCGACGTGGGAGTTGGACCCCGAACACGCAAGTGTACTGCGACCTGATCTTAGCGACTTAGACCACTCGGCCATCCTGACACGTGCGAGAGCGTTTCCTTAGATTTAAGTTATGAGAACTAAAAAAAAAAATGACTGAATAAAATGTTACTGTCAGAAGTGGGATTCGAACCCACGCCCACAGAAGTGGAATAAGAACAAAACGCAGCGCCTTAGACCGCTCGGCCATCCTGACATGTGAAAGAGTTTTCCCTTACATTTAGTTTTTGGAACCTAAGAAAATGTGAATAAAATTTTATTGTCCGAAGTGGGATTCGAACCCACGCCCACAGAATGGACTGCGATCTTGAATGCAGCGCCTTAGACCACTCGTCCCTCCTGACACGCAAAATAGCTTTCCCTTGCATTTAGTTCTTTAACCTCAAAAAATGACTGAATAAAATACATTGTCAGAAGTGGGATTCAGAACCCACGCCACAGAAGTGGACTGCGACCTGAACGCAGCGCTTAGACCGTTCGGCCATCCTGACACGCAAAATAGCTTTCCCTTGCATAAAGTCTTTTAACCTAAAACAATGACTGAAAGAAATACATTGTCAGAAGTGGGATTCGAAATAACGCCCACGCAAGTGGACTACGACCTGATTGCAGCGCCTTAAACCGCTCGTCCATCCTGACACGCAAAATAGCTTTCCCTTGCATTTAGTTCTTTAACCTCAAATTTGACTGAAAGAAATACATTGTCAGAAGTGGGATTCGAACCAACGCCCACAGAAGTGGACTGCGACCTGAACGCAGCGCCTTAGACCACTCGGCCATCCTAACACGCAAAATAGCTTTCCCTTGCATAAAGTTTTTAACCTCAAAAATGACTGAAAGAAATACATTGTCAGAAGTGGGATTCGAACCCACGCCCACACAAGTGGACTGACCTGAACGCAGCGCCTTAGACCGCTCGGCCATCCTGACACGTGGGAGTGTGTTTCCTTTCATTTAATTAATGAGAACTTAAAAAATGAATGAATGAAATAAAATTGTCAAACGTGGAATCCGAAACCACGCCTGCAGAATTTTACTGCGACTTAAACGCAGCGCTTTAGACCGCTCAGGAGTCTTAACCTGTGAAAGATCTTTCCTTTACATTTAGTTTATGAGAACTAAAAAAATAATGACTGAATAAAATTACATTATCAGAAGTGGGATTCGAACCCACGCCAAAACCGCTTCGACATGAACGCAGCGACTTTGACCGCTTTGCCATTCTGAAATTTGAGAAAAGGTTTCCTTTAATTTACTTTATGAACTAAAAAAATAATTCAACTAAATATAATTGCTCGACGTGGGAGTTGGACCCCCGAACACGCAAGTGTACTGCGACCTGATTAAGCGCCTTAGACCACTCGGCCATCCTGACACGTGCGAGAACGTTTCCTTAGATTTAAGTTATGAGAACTAAAAAAAATGACTGAATAAAATGTTACTGTCAGAAGTGAGATTCGAACCCACGCCCACAGAAGTGGAATATGATCAAAACACAGCGCCTTAGACCGATCGGCCATCCTGACATGTGAAAGAGTTTTCCCTTACATTTAGTTTTTTGAACCTAAGAAAAGTATGTGAATAAAATTTTATTGTCAGAAGTGGGATTCGAACCACGCCCACAGAATAGGACTGCGACCTGAACGAAGCGCCTTAGACCGCTCGGCCATCCTGACACAGAAAAAAGCTTTCCCTTGCATATAACTTTTAAACTCAAAAAATGACTGAAAAAATACATTGTCCGAAGTGGGATTCGAACCCACGAACACGCAAGTGGTCTATGACCTGATTGCAGCGCCTTAAACCACTCGTCCCTCCTGACACGCAAAAAGCTTTCCCTTGCATTTAGTTCTTTAACCTCAAAAAATGACTGAATAGAAATACATTGTCATAAGTGGGATTCAAACCCAAGCCCACACAAGTGGACTAAGACCTGAACGCAGCGCCTTAGAACGATCGGCCATCCTGACACGTGGAAGAGGGTTTCCCTTTCATTTTAATAATGAGAACTTAAAAAAAATGAATGAATGAAATATAAAATTGTGAAACGTGGAATCCGAAACCACGCCTGCAGAATTTTCTGCGACCTGAACGCAGCGCTTTTAGACCGCTCAGGAATCTTAACCCATGAAAGATCTTTGCCTTACATTTAGTTTATGAAAACTAAAAAAATAATGACTGAATAAAAATACATTGTCAGAAGTGGGATTCGAACCCACGCCCAAAGAAGTGAAAAGTGATCAAAACGCAGCGCCTAAGACCGATCGGCCATCCTGACATGTGAAAGAGTTTTCCCCACATTTAGTTTTTGGAACCTAAGAAAAGTATGTGAATAAAATTTTATTGTCAGTAGTGGACTGCGACCTGAACGCAGCGCCTTAGACCGCTCGGCCATCCTGACAAAAATAGCTTTCCCTTGCATTTATTTCTATAACCTCAAAAAATGACTGAATAGAAATACATTGTCAGAAGTAGGATACAAACCCACGCCCACACAAGTGGACTGCGACCTGAACGCAGCGCCTTAGACCGCTTTGCCATCCTGACACGCAAAATAGCTTTCCCTTGCATGTAGTGTTTTAACCTAAAAAAATGACTGAAAGAAATACATTGTCAGAAGTGGGATTCAAATTCACGCCCACGCAAGTGTTCAACGACCTGATTGCAGCGCCTTAAACCGCTCGGCCATCCTGACACGCAAAATAGCTTTTCCTTGCATTTAGTTCTTTAACCTCAAAAAATGACTGAATAGAAATACATTGTCAGAAGAGGGATTCGAACCCACGTCCACACAAGTGGATTTCGACCTGAACGCAGCGCCTTAGACCGCTCGGCCATACTGACACGTGGGAGAGTGTTTCCTTTCATTTAATTAATGAGAACTTAAAAAATGAATGAATGAAATATAATTGTCAAACGTGGAATCCGAAACCACGCCTGCAGAATTTTTCTGCGACCTGAACGCAGCGCTTTAGACCACTCAGGAATCTTAACCTATGAAAGATCTTTGCCTTAAATTTAGTTTATGAAAACTAAAAAAATAATGACTCAATATAATTACATTATCAGAAGTGGGATTCGAACCCACGCCAAAACCAAATGGACTTCTACATGAACGCAGCGCCTTTGACCGCTTGGCCATCCTGAAATTTGAGAAAACGTTTCCTTTAATATACTTTATGAGAACTAAAAAAAATAACTCAACTAAATATAATTGCTCGACGTGGGAGTTTGACCCGCGAACGCGACCTGATTGCAGCGCCTTAGACCCAACGGCCATCCTGACACGTGCGAGAGCATTTCCTTACATTTAAGTTATGAGAACTAAAAAAAAATGACTGAATAAAATTCTATTATCAGAAGTGGGATTCGAACCCACGCCCACAGAAGTGGACTGCGACCTGAACGCAGCGCCTTACACCGCTCGGCCATCCTGACACGCAGAATAGCTTTCCCTTGCATGTACTTTCTTAAAACTCAAAAAATGTCTGAAAGAAATACATTGTCAGAAGTGGGATTCGAACCCACGAACACGCAAGTGGACTACGACCTGATTGCAGCGCCTTAAAGCGCTCGTCCCTCCTGACACGCAAAATAGCTTTCCCTTGCATTTAGTTCTTTAACCTCAAAAAATGACTGAATAGAAATACATTGTCAGAAGTGGGATTCGAACCCATGCCCACACAAGTGGACTGCGACCTGAACGCAGCGCCTTAGACCGCTCGGCCATCCTGACACGTGGGAGAGTTATTCCTTTCATTTAATTAATGAGAACGTAAAGAATGAATGAATGAAATATAATTGTCAAATGTGGAATCCGACACCACGCCTGCAGAATTTTACTGCGACCTGAACGCAGCGCTTTAGACCACTCAGGAATCTTAACCTATGAAAGATCTTTGCCTTACATTTAGTTAATGAAAACTAAAAAAATAATGACTCAATAAAATTACATTATCCGAAGTGAGATCCGAACCCACGCTAAAACCGAGTGGACCTCGACATGAACGCAGCGCTTTTGACCGCTTGGCCATCCTGAAATTTGAGAAAACGTAACCTTTTATTTACTTTATGAGAACTAAAACAAATAACTCAACTAAATATAATTGCTCGACGTGGGAGTTTGATCCGCGAACGCGCAAGTGTACTGCAACCTGATTGTAGCGCCTTAGACCGCTCGGCCATCCTGACATGTGAAATAGTTTACCTTACATTTAGTTTTTGAACAAAAAAAAATGTGAATAAAATTTTACTTGTCAGAAGTGGGATTCGAACCCACGCCCACAGAAGTGCACTGCGACCTGAACACAGGAGAGGGTTTCCTTTCATTTAATTAATGAGAACTAAAAAATGAATGAATGAAATAAATATGCAGCGCCTTAAAACCACGCCCTCAGAATTTTTACTACGACTTAAACGCAGCGCTTTTAGACTGGAATCTTTACCTGTGAAAGATTTTCCCTTACATTTAGTTTTTGAGAACTAAAAAAATAATGACTGAATAAAATTACATTATCAGAAGTGGGATTCGCGAACCACTTCAAACCAGTGGACTTCGACATGAACGCAGCGCCTTTGACCGCTTGGTCATCCTGAAATTTAAAAAAGGTTTCCTTTAATTTACTTTATGAGAACTAAAAAAATAACTAAATATAATTGCTCGACGTGGAGTTGGACCCACGAACACGCAAGTATACTGCGACCTGATTGCAGCGCCTTAGACCGCTCGGTCATCCTGACACGTGCTAGAGCGTTTCCTTACAATTAGTTATAAGAACTAAAAAAATGACTGAATAAAATTTTATTGTCAGAAATGGGATTCGAAACCACGCCCACAGAAGTGGAATGTAATCTAAACGCAGCGCCTTAGACCGCTCGGCCATCCTGACACGCAAAATAGCTTTCCCTTGCATTTACTTCTTTAACCTCAAAAAATGACTGAATAAAATTCTATTGTCAGAAGTGGGATTCGAAACCATGCCCACAGAAGTGGAATGTGAGCTAAACGCAGCGCTTTAGACCGATCGGCCATCCTGACATGTGAAAGAGTTTTCTCTTACATTTAGTTTTTGTAACCTAAGAAAAGTATGTGAATAAAATTTTTTATTGTTATGATTCGAACCCAGTCCCAAAAATGGACTGCGACCTAACGCAAACCGCTATCCTGACATTGCTCGACGTGGGAGTTGGACCCCCGAACACGCAAGTATACTGCGACCTGATTGCAGCGCCTTAGACCGCTCGGCCATCCTGACACGTGCTAGAGCGTTTCCTTACAATTAAGTTATAAGAACTAAAAAAAAATGACTGAATAAAATTTTATTGTCAGAAGTGGGATTCGAACCCACGCCCACAGAAGTGGTATGTGATCTAAACGCAGCGCCTTAGACTGCTCGGCCATCCTGACACGCAAAATAGCTTTTCCTTGCATGTAGTTTTTAAACTCAAAAAATGACTGAAAGAAATACATTGTCAGAAGTGGGATTCAAACCCACGCCCACGCAAGTGGACAAGGACCTGATTGCAGCACCTTAAACCGCTCGCCAATCCTGACACGCAAAATAGCTTTCCCTTGCATTTACTTCTTTAACCTCAAAAATTGACTGAATAAAATTCTATTGTCAGAAGTGGGATTCGAAACCATGCCCACAGAAGTGGAATGTGAGCTAAACGCAGCGCCTTAGACCGATCGGCCATCCTGACATGTGAAAGAGTTTTCCTTACATTTAGTTTTTGTAACCTAAGAAAAAGTATGTGAATAAAATTTTATTGTTGTGTCAGGAATCTTAACCTGTGAAAGATCTTTCCCTTACATTTAGTTTATGAGAACTAAAAATAATGACTAAATAAAATTACATTATCAGAAGTGGGATTCGAACCCACGCCAAAACCGACACGCACATGAACGCAGCGCCTTTGACCACTTGCCATTCTGAAATTTGAGAAAACGTTTCCTTTAATTTCTTTAAAGAACTAAAAAAAAAATAACTAAATGTAATTGCTCGACGTGGAGTTGGACCCCCGAACACGCAAGTATACTATGCGACCTGATTGCAGCGCCTTAGACCGCTCGGCCATCCTGACACGTGCTAGAGCATTTCCTTACAATTAAGTTATGATAACTAAAAAAAAAATGACTGAATAAAATTTTATTGTCAGAAATGGGATTCGAAACCACACCCACAGAAGTGGAATGTCATCTAAACGCAGCGCCTTAGACCGATCGGCCATCCTGACATGTGAAAAAGTTTTCCCTTACATTTAGTTTTTGTAACCTAAGAAAAGTATGTGAATAAAATTTTAATGTTAGAAGTGGGATTCGAACCCACGCCCACAGAAATGGACTGTGACCTGAACGCAGCGGCTTAGACCGCTCGGCCATCCTGACACGCAAAATTTCCCTTGCATAAAGTTTTTAACCTCAAAAAATGAATGAAAGAAATACATTGTTAATGGGATTCGAACCAACGCCCACGGAAGTGGACTACGACCTGATTGAAGCGCGTTAAACCGCTCGTCCCTCCTGACACGCAAAATAGCTTTCCCTTGCATTTAGTTCTTTAACCTCAAAAAATGACTGAATAGAAATACATTGTCAGAAGTAGGATTCGAACCCACGACCACACATGTGGACTGTGACCTGAACGCAGCGCCTTAGACCGCTCGGCAATCCTGACACGTGGGAGAGGGTTTCCTTTCATTTAATTAATGAGAACTTAAAAAAATGAATGAATGAAATATAATTGTAAAACGTGGAATCCGAAACCACGCCTGCAGAATTTTACTGCGACTTAAACGCAGCGCTTTAGACCACTCAGGAATCTTAACCTGTGAACCTGTGAAAGATTTTTCCCTTACATTTAGTTTATGAGAACTAAAAAAATAATGACTAAATAAAATTACATTATCAGAAGATGGATTAGAAACCACGCCAAAACCGAAAGGACTTCGACATGAACGCAGCGCCTTT